CCGGCAGGCCAAGCTGGGCCGGCCCCCTGTCGAACCGAGTTGCCGGCGCAGCGAAGCGGAGCTGGCAACTCGGTTCGACGGAAGGGCGGGCCCTAGCTTGTTTTAGTCGGTCGACCCCCTTTTTTGAAGATCCTGATCTGGCAAACGTGTAAAAGTGGCCGATGGGGTCGGGACCAGGTCCATTCATCTTGTCTCGTCGCCCCGATTCCAAAAATACCCCTATGTGCCCTGCTAGCACCAACAATGGCGGAAATCCCCCTCCCGCTCATGTAAACCATGATGCACCTGCAGCAGCCCTTGTGCGACCCGGACGGGATTTGCACCACCGGATTATTTGTTTGGACGCTACTCCTGAAGTACCCTCCAAATCTGGTTACTCTAGCTCAACTCCTTCCTTGTACACAGACGCCAACAACAACAACAACAACAACACACAGACACAAAGGCAAATGCATAGGCCCTCCCCCTATTTTTTGAATAGAAGGGCGGGCAAAAAGGGTGAAAATTGAGGTTTGGGACACACACGTGAGGTGTCCGGTGGTCCTGCCAAGCTGCAAAACTTGTATTTAGTGTAGGCGGTGGCCATCCGACCGTGCAACAGCCGCCCCGACAGTTTGGGATGAAATCCGGAACCAAAAAACAAGAAAAAATACAAAAACTCCGCTTTTTGACATAAAACGCCCGGTAGGGTCATGAAGGCTTTGTCCTATCGCAAAACCGCGGTCATTTATGGAATCAGCACAAAAAACGAAACTTTTGAGTGCTACCCAAAAGCTGCATCTGAAAAGTCGTGCATATCGACGCACCCTAGTATACACCTACCCTTAGCCTGCGGCGCTAGCCTGCCTTCGGCACTGTTATCCAAGTTGTGATACTTTCAACACAAAAACGTGCGATGATATCCAACATGTGATTCCCACGAATCATTGCTCCTGAGATGCAATGACTTCCGTATCGCAGAAAATTCTGCAATGATCATCGCAACTTTCTGCAATGAAAATCGGAATATTGCAAAAAACTGCGATGATAACAACACAAAACTTGGAATCATTACAGTTTTTTGCAATGATCATTGCAAAATTCTGCGATACTGTAGCTCATCACACCTTTTTGCAATGATCATCACGGAAAAGTGCGATTAAATTTGTATTGCGCACAAAGTGTGGTCTGTATCGCAAGTGGAATAACAGTGTGGGCAGTCAAAAATTGGGTAACGGCCCCCTAGGGGTCATCGTGGTGAAGTCATCGCGGACCTCACAACGTGGCCGACGACGTCACCTAACGACGAAACGCTTGTCCGTGACCAAATTTCGGGTGATGATTTGTCACCCGAAACTGGGCTAAGAAGTTGCATCACCAAACTGAAGGATCCCAATGGTGACTCGTTCATTCTCAATGGTAAAGGGGACAGTTTTTTTTTTTTTTTTTCAAATGTGTAGAGCCTTAATGTTGAACACTTTTCCGTTGAAATCTTACTTACCCACACATCATCATCAAAGGTTTCGCCGACAGTCACATTCCCAGATGCATTTTGCTTCTCTGTGGGATTGTAGCGATTGAAGTGCGAGAGGTGCAGAAACACTTTGTACTTCACATTGGGATCGTCATCGTTGCAGGACAGCATTCTCTCAACTATAGCAATGTACGGACCCTATAATCAATATCACAGTAAAGGATACTTCTACTTGCTTTAGCAGAATGCAGATTGCAGATTTTTGGCCCGTCCCGTGTACTTTTTGTAAAAAAAAAATAAATGACGGAGGGACGGGCGTATGGTATGACTCGCTACACGGAGAAAAATAAATTAACTGTACAGCTAATGACGTTAGCTGAGGTGTATTAGCTACACAGCTAAATACCTTTGATGTTCAAAGTGAACTCTGCCTGCACCGAACAGTTTGAATGTTCCCGCCACAGTACTGACAAGTAACGATTAAGTTAGTTTCATACTATTTAAAACCTCACTCAAGAGGGGGAAAGAAGGAAAGTGATGTGAAAGTCTAGACCTTCACTTGAAAGGCTAGACCACAATCAATCGTGTGTACAAGTCTATGTTTCTTCTGTTAAAATGGTGAACAATTCATGTTGTAGAGGCGGAAGAGTTAAATTAGATAACGGTAAAAACCCATCATTTACTCAATTTTACCATGATTGATTGTGGTCTAGCCTTTCAAGTGAAGTTCAGTTAACTCATGTGTGGTCTAGCCCTTAGTGGTAATGGTAATGGAAGGTAGGCAACCCAACGCACGCACATGCGCACTCTGGCCTGCGGGTTGCCTATCCGAGCTTCACAGGCGCTCCTGGCGGGTGGTTTTCCTTCGCACGCCGAGCGGGGAAGTCGATGTTGACCAGAACAGACGGCTGCGCAGCATAGGCAAGAACCCACATCACCACCACCACCTCAAATACACGATTTTGGTGATTTTTCAAAATTTGTTTTTGCGATTTCTCAGATCCTATGGGCGGGCCGACCAAACCCTTTTAGGGTTTTGTTCCACTATGTTAGAAGATCATTTGGTAAAAGTTAGGTCGAAATCGAAGATAAGCTATTTTGGGAATGGCAATTTTTCGAAAAAATATGACGAAAAATGAAAATTTGGGCATCAAAACTTCACTCAATCGTCTCGAAACCGTTTTCATCGTGTTCCCCAGCTCTTTTTACGTAAAAAACACTGGAAAAAAATCCAAAAAAATCAGCCAGAAAAGAGGAAATTTAAGAAAATATCATGATTTTGACTAAAGCTAAAACTTTGATATCCTGCCACAGCCAAACGGGGTGAGATATCGCAAAACCCTTTGGCAGGGGGTCTTTTTATGATGACCCCTACCCCCAAAAAAAGTTTCATCAAAATCGGAGAGATGAAATTCCAAGCGTTCGTTGGTTTGGCATGGAATCGCCCATTAGTTTTAATTTTTCTGTTGCAGTCTGTTTGGGCTTCCCCCACTCCTGGTGGCAGGGAAACTGCTGAAGAAAGGCGCAAATTGGTACAAAGGTACTATCAAAAGCGTAGAGTTATGCGCAAAGGTAGACTTATTAAGAAAACAAAGAAGGACAAAGAAACTCCAAACATCTCTAGTGATGGTAAATATATTGGTTGCGTTTTCGCTTGGTTTGCTTATTTCCTTTCAATGTTCCAATAATTTATTTTTTTTTTGTTTTCAGAAGAGGATCAGGATGATCCTGCTAATGATGATATACTCTGGCTGAAGAGCAACAAGCAGCCCTGGTCAAGAGTGGAAGAATTGTGGAAGGCTACACCGCTACACCTGCCTATCGGTTGCGAAAGTTGAGAGGGGGTGCCTCTTCAACTGATTCCTACATGAGTGCCTATCCTGCACTAAGGGATCCCCTGGGCTATTTGCTTGTAAGTTTATTTTGAGCAAACCATGTCTGTTTATTTAAAATGGGTCTCAGGAATTAATAACACAAATTTTATCTGTTGCAGCTGGAAATGGATTTTGATTTGGAGTTCCCCAACTCTCTTTTTATTGAGTCCAAGGTGCCCAAAGCTGAACTTACTAAAATTCAAAATTGTTTGACTCCAGGTAAATATATAATCAATATGTTCCCCAATGTGACTGTTTCAAACATTTTGTGTGACTGTTTCGTTTTTACTTTGCAGGAGGAAGGAAGGTCAAGACCATTTGATCCAGGAAGCGGAAGAAGGGGATAACTCAATTTTGGTCATTTTTCAGGAGAAACAAAAAACTGTTAGCAGGGAAAACTAAAACAAAACTAATGAATGTTGCAGACGTTAATAATTTCAAAAAGCATTGGTAAAATTTTGGGAAAAAAAATCAAAAGTGTAAGGTCACTCCGTAGAGGATTTCTGCGACTTATCACTTTCCGCCGAAATGGAAAACAGAGTCAGCTCACCTTATATTTCCTAAAGAAAGAGGAATTTGGAGACAAGTCAAGCGGAACTATAGTCTGCATAAAGTGTATGTTACTCTGGTGTATTTTTTGGACTTAGCTCTTTTTTCCAAATTGAAATTTAAAATTAAGGGGGGGTTAAGTTGAGTTGATTCTTTTTACACTAGATCCATAAAAACACAAGTTGAGTTATATCCTTTTGCCAATTTGTCAAACGGACTCATGTAGACTAAGGTTGAGTTTTCTCCATTTTCCAATGAAATTTAGACTGTAAAAGGGGTTTAGGGGAGGTTCTGGTGAAAATCTTGCCATTTTCCAAATGGATCCTACAATCATAATTTGTTTGGAATATAAAATTTTTCATTGAGGAAACTAAAATTTGACTTTTGAAGGCACATGCCAGGCTGTAAACCCAGTCGAAGAGTCTTTTTGGGCCTATTTTGGCTGTATCTTAAAAAATCTCCTTGCGCATACTATTTTGTCGTAAAAGGTTGACCTTGACATTTTTCACTTCTTCGACTCATTTTCAAAAGATACCGGCATGCAGAGCTCAAAACTTCCATCATATTATTAGTTATTAGCTTTTAAAGCTGAAAAGTCCCTAAAATTTGACTATTTTGTACATTTTTGATCAATTATAGTGAAATGCTTGGTAAGAAAGCTTGCGAATAAAAATGCAATTGACATTTTGAGATGTGCATGCCGGCATTTTTAAAAAATGAATCGAAGAAGTGAAAAATGTCTAAGCCAACCTTTTACGACAAAATAGTATGCGCAAGAAGATTTTTAAAGTTATAGCCTAAATGGGAGAAAAAGGCTCTGCGACTGGGTTCAGGGCATGGAATGTGCTTCCCCAATGAAAATTTTTAATAAATACTTGATAAGACATCAAATTTTTAACAAATTTTCACAGTGGGACCTATTTAGGAGAAAATAGCATTTTCACCAGAACCTCCCCTTAAGTTGAGTTATACCCTTTTTCCATGTGGATTTTCTCCTAAACTGCTTGGAATTCAGTCAAATAATTTGGTGTAATGATGTAAACCATTCTAAGGCACAATAATAAAATAAAAACTCAATTTGGGGATAAGTCAAGTTATTCCCTTCTTCCGCTTCCTGGATTATTTTAGCTCTGCCTTATCTGTTCCAAGTCTCAACATGTGCCAAGAAAGGAAAGAACAAGCAGTGGCGACCCTCCAGATATGAAGTTGGTGAAGCTCTGTTGCTTCATGTAAAGGTTGGTTTATATTTCTTACCCTTTGATGTCATGCCCTATTGGAAATTTTGTAACCTAATGTTTTTGTTGCATTTTTAAAGGCTTGTGGCTGTACTTTAAAATTTTGTGAACTCTTGGTGGTTCTTTTCTTTTATTAATTTTTGTTCTTTCTTCTTTTGCTTTAGACCATTGGAGACATTGAACCAACTTTGTTAAACCGGCTGAAAGAAAAGTATGAGCCATTCAATTTAAGCCTGGGACATCAAGCAATCGTTGTTGGCCCTGATGTGGATTCGATTCAGCAAAGCTACATCCGTGTCAACAATATTCTGTACAAGGTGGACAATGCACGCAAGGCTTTAGACATTACTTTCAAGATTTTTCATTCACTCGATGGAAAATATCACACTGAAGCAGAGAGGGAATGGCTCTTCTTGGAAAGAGCTGTGTATGGCATCAATGAAGGCAAAGATGGAGATGGACGAATCAAAAGCATTTGTTGTGAGTATCTGAAGTTTAAATCATCTAACTAAGTGTTTCCTATCTGTTTGGTCAATTTCTTTTATAGTGAAAGTCGTTTAAAGTGTTGTTGGAAATTTTAATCATGTGCCTGGTCATTGCGCTGAAGAATCTGTCTGGCCCGTAACATAATGTGCACAGTCATCTATACTGGCATTACGTTACGGTTCTAGCAAAGGAGAATCTTTGGTGCAATAATCGTATAGAGATAAGATCTCAATTTCCTTCAACGCTTTAAGCGGCTTTCATTACTTGATTTTGAAATGTTTTCTACGAAACCTTTGAGCAGTTTGCTTTTTTTCTAATGTTTTAGTATTAATATTGATCTCTTTGTATTTAAACTTTGTAATTTTAATTAGTTTTCTTTCATGTGCTTTTGCAGGGCCCATTAGTGTTAAATACCAGATGTTTCAAAATGTACCTTGCTCTGAATGTAAGTCCCAATTTCCTGACTTGTTCTCTTTTCATGTTCATTTCCGTGCCATTTGTCGCTAGTCAAAGTAGTTCTAAACCTGAATTATTGTTAAATGTTACTGAGCAGTCTTTTGAATGTATTCCAGAAGAAGACAGCTCAGTAACATTTAACAATACTTCAGCCTTTTACTGTGATGTTGAAGATTTGCTTATTCAAGAACAGGACTATCTTGTTGCTAAGCTTTATAGTAACCCAGCATTGCCTAGCAGGGATGCCAGACGTACGACCTTGGTCGTACAAATACGACCTTTTTGCCCTATGTACGACCAAAAAATTTGTACGATGATCGTACCCAAAACGTACGACCTTCTTGCCCCTCGTACGACCTTACTCTAAAATACCGGGAAAACGCGTAATTCACAATGGAGAGGTTGGTGCAACTGTGCTCCAGTCGTGCGATATTCATTAACAGTTACCTTTCCAAGAATGTGTTATTATTTAACAGGCAGCGCGTTCGTTTGAATTCGTGCAGCCAGCCCGCTACTGTGGCACCACCAGTACCACCCTACTAATAAGAACTGTTCCTTGTTGCTCGGTTGAGAAATAAAGTGAAGTTTTGCAGTCTTATGCTGTTGTTTTTACTTCAAATGTGTGATTTACATTCATATTTAGAGAATTTTTAATTATTTGGACAGAAATAGGGCAAGTACGACCTTTCTGGGCCTTGGTACGACCTTTTCGGAAGGTTGGTACGACCTTGCGAGCTCCACTGTCTGGCATCCCTGTTGCCTAGAAGTATCGTAAGTGATATGGTTAATAACTTTTCAAGGTACCTTACTAGTCCTTTTTTTGAAAACATGAGAAGTGTGGTAACTTCCTCTTTGGATCCTAATCTCTCCTCATCAGTCAGACAAGAAATTGATAAAATGTTTGAGTTAGTTATGAACCCTTTCTCTCATTTACAAACTGAGTACAAACGTTTGAAATATTTTGAAGACAGTGGAGAGTACATTGCACCTGTTTCTTATGAGATTTTTAGTAGGGAGGAGCGGGTTAAGACCAAAGGTGGAGTAATATTGCAGATGAGGCAAGTTACTGGAGAATTTATTCCTTTACGCCAAGTATTGACCAAGTTTTTTCATTTGCCACATGCTTTGGAAGATACACTGTCGAAACAGCTAGCAAATTAAAAGGATTGTCTTTTCAATCTCGTTCAATGTGAGGTTTGGAAAAGGAAAGTAGCTAGGTTTGACAAAGATGCTATTGTGATATCTCTTAATGTATACTATGACGAGGTTGAACCCAATGATGGTTTGGGCCCTCACTGTGAGCCCTTAGGGTGCACCTATGTACAAATAGCAACACTGCCACCAGAGTGGAATTCTCGCTTGGAGAATATATTTATAGCCTTGATTTTTAATGCTGATGATCGAACTGTGTATGGTAATTACAGAGCTTTCAAGCCCTTTATTAAGGAACTTAAATATCTGGAGAAAGAAGGCATTATGGTAAACACTAAGGAGAAGGGGCCAGTCAAGGTGTTGATTGTCCTCGCCCTGATTCTTGGAGACAATAAAGCATTGAATGGAATTTGTGGCTTCATGGAAGGGTTCACTGCCACTTATTTTTGTCGTATTTGCTCTGTAACCAAAGAGGTTTCTGAAACCATGTTAGAGGAAGATGTTACTCTGTTGCGAACTGCTGAGAGTTATCTTGCTGATGTAGAGAAGAAAGCTCCTAAGGAAACTGGGGTCAAAGAAAAGTGTATTTTCAACAAGATTCCTTCCTTTGAGACTCCATCTGATATTGCTGTTGACGAGTTTCATGACCTGATTGAGGGGGTAGCCCACTATTCTATGGTTCCTATCCTTATTCATTTTCATCGTTTGAATAGTTTGTTTATTCCTACTTTAAATAGTAGACTTTATGCTCTTGACTTAGGAATTGATGATGACAATAGACCTTCAGGTACAAATATGGACAGATTGTTAAAGGACCCTCATAAGGAGAAAAAATTGAAAATGACAGTTTCTGAGATGTACACTATTATAAGAGTGTTTGGAGTCGTTCTTGTTAAAGATATGGTGCCTGATAAAGATCATTTTTATTCTTTGTATCTTCGTCTTCATGATATTATGTCCATTATTCATGCTAAGCATGCAGCTTGTGATGCGGGAGTTCTTCTTTCACTAGCTGTTAAAGAGCATAATCAACAGTATATGGAGGTGACCGAAAAAAAGCTTAAGCCTAAACACCATCTCTTAGAACACTACGGTGGTTGTTTGACTAAAATTGGACCTTTTGGTTGTCTTTCTACCATTCGCCAGGAAGCTAAGCATCGGCTTGTGAGTGAGACTGCTAACACCTGTATGTCACGTGTGAATTTGCCCAAAACTGTAGCTATCAAACAACAGTTAGGATTCTGCTTCAGGTGTGTGTCAAATGGTTCAATTCGTCAACCTTTAACTTCAGGTCCTAGCCATGCTGTTGATTTGTCTACGTTAGAGTCGTACTCCTCTTTTAGTCTGTCATTGCCAAGGAATAATGTAGAAGACCCTAACCAAGTTGTTGTCAATTGGATAGAGTACAAGGGTACCAAATATGCGCCAAAGCAAATACTTTTGATTGATACTGATGATGAAGGCCTTTTTCAGTTTGGTGAAATTCAACTAATTTTAGTTCATGATGCCCAACCTTTCTTTATTTGTTCACGTATTGAAACACTTGGCTTCTTTAGCGAGGTAAGGGGCTACGAAGTTCTGAGAAATTTAACTGATCGAAATTGGCTTGCTATTGGGCATGGAAATTTGCTGGACTATCGCCCCTTGTGTATATATCCAATGCCAACAGGCGAACAGATTATTGTCCTCCGTGACCTTTTGTGAATACTATGTGACCTGCTCTAGTTGAATTTGTACTATGTGACCTGCACTAGTTTATTTTGTACTATGTGACCTGCACTATTTTAATTTGTACTATGTGACCTGTCTTTGTTATTGTTGCTTCATTGTATGGCTTCCGAATTGTTACTGAAGGATCCACGACATTTCACCCAAAGTCTTTCTCCCACTGCAGAAATGCCAACTTCAATTTAGTCCACCCATTTTTGAGCCACTACCTTTATTCCGAAAAAAGGAGACCCAACCACCATTTGGCCCACCTTTGTATTTCAAAACCCACTAAAGAAAGACGCTATTCCCGCAAGCCCTGCCTAAGGTAAGGCACTGTCTGCTAGTTGCGAACTGAATGATTCCATGTTTATTATTCCATGAACATTAGTAGTTTGTAACTTATCCAGTTCCAGTTCAGCCATTAACCTGTCCTGCTCCTTCTGTACTTGATTGATGCGTATTACGATGATATGTCATCGTGAGGTACTGTCAAATGCACTTGCGCACAAAGCACAGTTGCCAATGTAAGGTATCGAGGTCTGCACAATGAAAATTTTGGTTGTCAGTTGATGACCATTTCATGACTTATTTTTCCTTCCCAGGGTCATCAACACTGCAATATGCATAGGCCATCCTAGTACGCATGGTTCATCTTAAGATACGGTGAATTTTATCGTAAGCACGCAAGGATCGGAAGGATCTGAGGGTGCAACAGTGGGCAGTGGGGGTAAAGGGGAAGTACAGTGGGACAATCGCTGGCGGGCTATACTGGTGGTGGGCTAAATGAGGTGGATGTAAAAGTAGTGGACAAAACACGTATGGGCATTTCTGTTTCGGGTGAAAGGAATTGGGTGAACCGTCTTGATACCGTTACTGAACAGAGAATAATAAGACATTGAATTTTCTTAATATTGCTATTTATTCCGGTAATTCTCCTGGGCAAAGGGAGGGGTGGGGGTGGGGGAGTAAATTCAAGGATTTGCTGCAGTGCTAAATTTTAGCCACCGCAAGCGAGATGGTCAAGATTAGTCCCCGGGCTAATAATGTGCTGCAGTGTAAACTGGAGCCTCATTCGCTCCAGGGATAATTCTTGGTTCCACTGCTAAGAGAGATTAAAGTAGTTAGTCAGCCAGACGGGGGTAGTCAATAGAGTGTCTTAACAATTTGATTTAAAAGGCTTTACGGCTACCAAAAAATTACAAGTGTGTTGGAAATTTATTGTTTTAGCTGCATTTTGCATTGAATAATTTTTAACAACTCCAAAAACATGTTATTTATTTAATTCAGTTGACCGTAAGTACGCAACTTGACTAGCAATCGGCAGTGCTGACCATGCAAAATCGGAGGCACTAAATTTCCGCGTCGTGTGAGGCAACGATTTATTTTATTTATTTACGGTTATATCTGTTATTCTTCGTAAAGTGTACCAATTATTTTCGATGATGAAAATGTTAATTTAGTGGCAAGTGCCCCAGAATCGACATAAATCGCGTTTCCGTCGCGCGCGAAATTAGTGTTGCCAAGTTGGTACTGGCACCCCGGCGCATGCAGCAGAAACAATTTTCCAACACTATTGTTTTAGGTTTTCTCTTGAATATCTTTTAAACTGATTCGATAGAAAGCTGAAATGGTCTGAAGTTCTCAGGGTCTTTAGTTGTAAACTCGATGGGAAGTGTGGAGACTCTCGGCCGTTTGAATCTCGGCAGAGATCCCGCCCCTTCCGCCGTCTCCCGCTAATGGCGGCAGCCGTCCCGGAAGGGCCCCAAATCGGCCGTTTTCGCGTCGCTAAACTCAATTATCTTTTCGAAACGTGCGGTAACGGCATGTTTCCTTGTGGTATTTGGAATCCTCATACTTAAATCTATAGGAGAGGTGGTTTTCTGAAAGGTGTAAGGCATATGAGTATTTCACAAATTCAAATTTACTGCGCCACGGAGGCTTCGGGCCTATGCTGGCCAGCCAAACGGGGCTCTTTTTCTATCACATATTTCTCAAAATTTATACCGGTAACGCGTGGTTTTGTCTCCACTAGAGTACAGAAGACGATTTCAGCTTTCTATAGATGCATAGTGTACTGGGGGTCAACCATAACGTGTCTGGCTGACTAACTACTTTAACAGCATGGCTAATATTTTAGCTGAGTGACTTGGCTTTGATAAATAATTCTTAGCGCAGCTGCTAATTTTCTTAGACTCCCCAGCTAATGCTTTTGAGCTAACTTACTTAGCTGTCGTGCTAACTTCTTTGCTGTACGTATACAGCTAAGTTTTTTAGCACCAGGAGCAAAAACTTATCTGTACAACTAACCATTTTTCTCCGTGTACGCTCGCTGGGGACCCCCCGTGCGTGCCTCCGGCCTGCTGAGTGGGGTCTGGCTAGCGGCAGTAGGAGTTGGCCGCCTGTTCATCCGGCGGTGTACGCCACCGCGGTCAACTCAGAAGCTGTCTTGTACACAATTCCTCGTGAGTAGTGAGTACTTTGAAAAGGGGTGACATCAAGGCAAAACGGAGTAAGTCGGGCTCCCCTGGCATCGTTGTCCTGGCCGCAGTCAGCAGCTGATGTGAAATCACTTCGCCGTGTTCAGGAACAGCATTTCCTGTCATCTAGCCTGAATCAATCGCACTGCTCAATAATTACAGCGAGGAGCAGTGATGGCTAGCGGGGTCACGAGCGCAGCAACTTTTCATTCATAAGCAACAGAGTACAAAGTACACTTGGCCGTCGGACCTAAAGAGAAGATTTCTTTTATGAAATGTTTATCTTGACAAAAGTACTAATGCGCGCCTCTCAAGTTAAGCTATGTATAAAAACGGAAAATAGACCCAGACCGTCATAAGAAGTGCCCAACAGTCTTTAAGTAGTACATCAGCTAGGGTTTCCCGCCAAAAATTTTTGAAATTAAAATTTGTCGTAATGCTCTGCGCTTTGCATTAAGTTACAGATAAATCTCCAAACTCTATTTTAAGTTATATGTAATTTTGATGTAACCCTACAGGGT